CACCAAGTTGTCCCCTCTTTAATTACTAGCAACAAATTGGAAAAGATTTTGATAGAAATAATTGTTAGTTGTTACAATGCGTTGACATTGTCTATACAATTAATGAAAATTGGAAATAAATGTAGGAAATGGATAGATGGAGATATTTGAGTACATTTTTTACTTGACTTGACAATATATACAATACGTTATAATTGATTAAGAATTAATATGTGCGAGTAAAAATAATCAATTACAGTATTTTTAAATAAATAAATTAAAAAGACTAAATTATCTTTATACTTTGAGATTAAAATATTACAATGTACAATCATATTTTTTTTTTTTTTGAATGCAATGTACAATCATATAGTTGTTCAATAATTGCACAATGAATATAATGAGAAGAGCTAGGAATATAATGGAGCAAGAGAAAATAAAAGAGAAATAATTAGATGATTGTGGTACCATACTATGATTTTATTATTATTTTGTGTTTTTTGGTGGTACTATGATTTGTTTTAAGGTGTGTTAGTTTGACCATAAAACCAACTATGTTTGTCCCTTTGGTGGGTTTTAGTCAAAATCAAAGCTTGGCTTGGTAGGAAACCGCGGTCACGGCACGCCATCCATGACTCTTCATTTGTAGGGCCATTTGACCTCTTCTCTAGTCCTCCACCCCACCCCTCCCCCCTCCCCCCCCCCCACCCAATGTACTACTTTTAAGGGAATGAAGTTATATTACATATACTCTCAAATTCTATTGTTTTATTTTTATTCTATGATGTGACAAACAATTATAGGGTATTTTATCATGTAGGTCTCAGAAAAAGTGTCTATATCAAGAATTATTTGTGAGAGCGAATGAAAGTTGTGGTAAGAACTGAGAGTTCATGTAGTATTTTCCAAAGGAATGCCATAGAGAGTTACAATGGAGGTCTTTAGTCTTATCATAAGTATCAGTGTAACTATCGAAAAGAAAAATATTGTCATAATGCTTTAATAATTGATTACCTAAACGGTAATTATTCACTTAATTTGTGAGTGATATTACAAGAATTTTGACATTTTGTGACACTTTAAAATTTCGTCACAAATAATATCTTTTTTTGTGACAAAAATAACCAGTTGACTCTCTTGTTTGTGACCATTTATTATTATTATTATTGTTGGTGTTGTTTTAAGTCACATATGAGGTAGTAATTGTGACAATTAAGTATTTGATATAATTAAATTGAATCAATTAATGGAATAATAGTGTGACAAATTAAGTTATCACTAAATGTATAAGTAATTTTTTTTTTTTTTTGCCACAGTAATATAATCTTGACGGGAACAAATATAATTGTGACAAAATGACTCAAATCACGGAATCTACCACAACCGTCTCAAATTCTCTAAAATGGTTTTACATTGGTGCTAACAATGAGACAAATTCATACTACTTTTTTCAATAGGGCTCAAATTCACACTCACACATTGCAGACCAATTTTTCTCAATAAGACTCAAATCGGATTCGAATATTCCAACTGATCGCCTGACAGTAAAACAAATCGTTACTCTTACTATAAATTAATATAATCAACCAATTACATTGTGCCTAGGGACATATCTTTCAATTCGTTTCTTAAACTTAGGGGTAGGTTTTTAACAAGGACACCATAGAAACCAAAGGAGAATGCTATGATGAAATGAGATAGTGTTTGGCGTGTGGGGTTGAGTAGTGCTATGCGTTTTGTGGGAAATTGGATTTCACTTTCACAATTTTCACACAAGTGGTTGACTCTACAATTCTGGCTTTCATTCAGTCTTTTCCCTTAGCACCATGGCCATTGCGTGGGGTCCACACCACCACCCCCACCCCCCTGCCGCCAGGAAACTACCTACCTGGCTAGTCACGGCCGGCCATGGACCTTCCCATCACTCACCACCTTTTTTCTTAATTGTTCATCATTCAACCTTTGACGTCATGTCTCACATAACATTTTTTTTTTTTCCATATGATGTTTTTCATTAAATTTTGGTGTGTTTGTATGTAGGTCGGTATGCTACTTTTTTTCACCAATGTAGGTTGATTTTTTTTTCATAAATTTTGTGTCCACGTTTGTGTTGTTTGTTTGCTTATCAGCTTATGTTTTGATTGAAATTATTCCAAAGAAAAATTACAATTTTCTTTTCTAAGAGCATCCTCATCACTAGTTTTTTGGAGGGGTTTTTGAGAAAACATAACTTAGACGAGAGAGAGAAAGGAAAAAAAAAAAAAAAAAAAAGAAGAAGCTTACTCCAATGCCTAGGTTTTTGACAGACTTAGCTTGTGGGACCCACTGCAATAAGTCTTCCTGGCAAGTTTGGTCGCATGAAGGGCAACATCAGTCGTTATATCATGGACCGCAGTGAAAAACGGCGCCGTTTCTTTAAGCAAAGAAACGGCGCGCGGTTACCGTTGACGAAGTGTATGTATTTTTTGTGTATTAATTTCCAACTGAAACTACAGTGTATCTAAACTGACACTACGGGCTCACGTATTATTTTTATATTATCAAGTGAAAATGCAATTGAAATGAAATAAAATTGTAGTTATGTTGAAATGAAACTGCAGTGTATACAAAATGAAACTAAATAACAATTTCACATATTTGAGTGTATATTACCCATCGAAATTGTAGTTATATCAAAATGATATTGTAGTTGTGTTGAATTGAAACTACAGTGTATATAAAATGAAACTGAATAAAATTTCACATATTTGAGTGTATATTGTGCAATGAAGCTGTAGTTATATCAAAATGATTATGTAGTAGTTGTGTTTTAATAAAACTATAGTGTATATAAAATAAAATTAAATAACATTTTCACATATTTGAGTGTATAAGTATCGAATGAAACTGTACTTATATCGAAATGAAACTGCAGTGTATACAAAATGAAACTGAATAACAGAGTTACGTTTTGCGGAACAGCGCGGAACGGCAGGAAACAGGTGTCGTTTCTTTCATTAAACAAAACGACGTCATTTTGAAGCATTATGCACCGCAATGCACGATATAATTTGCAACATAGTGCCTGCTGAGCGCGTTACTGACGCTTCTGTTATTTTATTTTCAGCTTTGTTTTGTTTTTATTTTCCCCCCATCACATCTTCTCTTACGTGATTACACTTAAAAAAACTCCCCAAAAATCACAAATGTTGAAAATGCTCTAAGTTATTAGGAGATAGTACTTTTTCATTTCTTGATTATATCCATTGTCACTTTTTGCCTATCAATTGTGTGCTTTTGCGTTGTTTACTTGTGTTTTTTTTTTTTTTTTTTTTTTTTTTTTTTTTTTGACATTTCGTTATGATGGTTGGAAAAACATTAAATTTCTGTTTACTTTTAACAAGGGTTAAGTCATGAGTTGAAGAGATGCATCGTCGGTCCTTTTTATGACTTTGCAACATTATTGACAATATTAGCATCTTGAGATTCTTTGGTCAAGGATTCAAGGTATATTATCCAACAATTTTAATGAAAATTACACAAATCAACCAGTACGGAGTTTGATAATATGTAGTCTGTTTCCATACGGTTGCAGTTATTAACTGTCTGCTCATATTTTAGTCATATAATTGCATACTTTTCTTGCAAGCAGTTAAACTTCTTTAATTGGTTTCTTAAATCTTTAACACAAAAGTCAAATTAAAAAAGGTATAATTCCCTTCTTTTATTTGTCAAAAAAAGAGAAAATTGATAAATATTAGTAATAATACACAAATATATTGAGATGTTTGGTAAATAGTTGTTAGCTGATTGGGTTAGTAGGTGTGACTAGTTGATTGTAGAAAAGTGTTTGGTAAATTAGTTGTTAACTGATAGCTGATTACCTGCAAAATGTCATTCGTAAAAAGCTTATCGCAAAAGCTGGTTTGAGAAGCTTTTTGAATTTTAGCATTTTAGAACAACAAGTTGTTAAAAAAAAAAAAAAAAAAAAAATAATTAATCAAACACTTATATTGATTGTTTAATCAAGTCAAACAACTAATAGTGATCAAATAAGTCAAAATTGACTGATAAGCTAATTATGTTACCAAACAGGGTATTATTAACTTCATTTTGAATTCATTAACCAATTGAAGGTCCCACTTGCCTGGTTTTGATGGATGAGTAAATTAAATAGCGAGATTATCTTAATGGCTTTAAGTTCCTCAAAGTGTTTGTATATGGGTATTCGCAAGAACCCACACATTATGATAGCCGCCAAAACATACTATTAATTTTATTTTGAATTCATTAACCAATTGAACCGTGACCGAAAGCAATATTGAAAATATCTAAAAAGGCAAATATTGACGGCAGGCCCCAAGCAAGCAAGGCCAGCCATAGCCAGTCTGCATCATCATTATCTTGTCACCTTATGTTAGCTTAATATCTAACAATCATTCAACTTGTTGATTGATGCCATTTCAGTACACCATTATTGATTTCATAACCACTAATAATACTCCTAATCAATCTCTAATCAACTCCCAATTGGTTGATGTGCTTGCATTGGGTTGGTTCATGATTGTCTACTTGTTTTACACAAAGCCCAAAGAGTGGTCAATAGTATATGGCCCAAAATATTTTTGGGCTGCCTTATAGTAGGATTGGGATTATCAATATTTGGAAGTGTGGGACTACAATCGTTATATCGTGCACTAGTGCGCATAATGCATTGTGCGTGTTGGCTCAAAATGGCAACGTTTTATAAGCTGGTGGCGAGTTGACGTGACATACACCGTTCCATCCGTTTAATCCCGTTACAATTTTTTCTTTTTAAAACTTGTGTTTATGTGTATTATGTTTAGAGTTTACGTGTATTATGTATTATGTTAGATTATGTGTATTATGTTAGGAGTTTATGTGTATTCTACTATACAATTCTGTACATACGAGACATGAAAACTTTTTTTAGAAGCTAACAGCAGAAACGGGAAACAGATACAAAATGACGTCGTTTTGGGTCAGGACGCACAATGCATTGTCTCTGGTGCACGATATAATACACACAAATAAACTAGCATATATGACATAATACATAGATAATAGAGCAATCTCAATTAAGTTAGTTGGATAGTTGTCTCCGAGCAATATAATTGTCTTAGTTTGAGACAACTATGAACTAACAACTAGGCTGAGAGCTCATCTTATTATTCGTAGGTACATAATAATGGCAGGAAAGAGATACTAACCCACCGGAAAAAGCAAACACACCTTAAAGATTGCTAAGCCCGCAATAATATATATAATATTATATTAGACAGAAGCAATTTTGACAGCGTCGTTTTCTCCGACGACACAGGCACAACCTTCGCCGCACTCGAACTGAATCCTGCCGGCGTCGGGGCCGGCAGTCTTTGGAACCACGCACGACCACCCTTCCGGGCACACGCAGAAGACCTTGGAGTTCGCCGGCGGCGACCCCTCCCGCGCCTGCTTTAACTCTTCCTCGCTCAGCGGCTCAGTCGCCCTGCAAATATAATTAAACGTACGTGTTTGTTTGTTATCATCAGCCGTCAAACAAATTAAAGGGGAATTGAATTGAAGGAAAAGCGGGAGGGAGAAGCTAAGGAACTTAATTGATGGAGCAGGAGCAAGGGCCGGAGCAGCTGGAGAAAGGCTTGCCGGACTTGGATGGATCGGTGGTCTTAGTTATGGTGCAAGTCCAGCCATCGTCGCACTTGCAAAACGCCGCCTTGTCACCGCCGTCCATGGTGTCACTGCCTTACCGTATCGGATCGGAAAAGAAAGAAGAAAGGGAAGCAAATAAATAAGTGGAAGATACTATCGCCACTTACACTCAGGCCATGAATTGGAGGAATTGTGCCCGCATGGGTAGCTCAACTGGTCAGGTGAAACTTTGGAAGAATGATCAGGGATGAGTCCCACCAGCGGTAGTGTGGGAGCAACCACTCAAAGTGAGCAGTGAGCACCGGTCTAGCCTCTATGGTTCATGTTCAGTTGAGTCACCATAATTTACATCCTCCCAAATGCTCTGTCGGGCCGGGGTGTGAGGGGCCATTAGGGTTGGGGTTCAGCCTTTTGGAAGAATGAATTGAAGGAATTGTCGTTTTCCTTTTGTTTTTTTTTTAAATATAATATTTTCCTTTTATATATATATATATATATATATATATATATATATATATATATATATAATACTAATGACTTTGTAGTATCTGTTTATAACTAGTTTCTCAATCAAATAAAGTATAAAGAGTCAATATCAATCTCACCGAGGCTGTAATCTTTCTTATGAGGAGCAACTTGATGTCATTAGATCACACGGTGCATGCGAATGCACAACTTAACGATTAATCTACATTGGGTTGGGCTCATGCTTGTGGTACTTGTTTTTCACAAAGCGCAAACAGTAGTCAATAGTATATGGCCCAAAATCTTTTTGTGCGCAAATTATGGCAAATTATTGTGTGGACCATGGTTCACACAATGTTACATGGACCATTACAAAAAATATATTTTTAATATATTAAATGTACATTATTTTTGTATTGAATGTACATTATACAATGTAATGTACAAACAGTACAAAAATAATGTACATCCCCTGAATACAATGTACATAATTTTGTACTAAACGTACATTATTTTTGTATTGAATGTACATTATTTTATAGTATACAAAATATGATCCACACAACTTGTATGGACCATGGTCCAAATGATTGGCAAATTATGCTGTGGAAACGTATTAACCATGCGCATGGTGAGTACAGGGGTAGATCCATAATTTCTATACTGTAGATTCATAATTTTGTTTTTCATTTGTTGTTAACGACGTTTCTCTCTTCGCAATTGCATTATTTCCTCTTCGCAGTACAGATATTATGAATCTACAGTACAAAAATTATGAATCTATAGTATATAAATTATGAATCTACAGTATAGATGTTATGAGTCTACAATATAGAAATTATGAATATACAGCTTAGAAATTATGGATATATCCCGTCTTCACCATGCGCATGGTGAACACAGTTCCACAACATAACTATTGACTGTTGGGCTGCCTTAGAGCATTCACATCAAGGGGAGAATTGGGGGATAATGTCATATGCTTTCACTTGGGTGGGGTTAATAACAAGTGTGGGGAAGAAATAACAAGGGAAAGAATTGGCCTGCAAGGGGTTGGGAGAATGGGAAAAAAATAATAAAAATAAATAAGGACCACATGCTGTGCGCGTTTGGCGCACGGCATTGCCACAGTCGGGCCGAGCGGCGCGCCTGACATACACTTTTTTTTTTTTTTTTTAATTTTAAAAATTCAGTTTTGATTTCTTTTTCTCCCTCAGCTCCTACATTCCCTTTTCTAATAACTCTTACAATCTTCCCCTAATATACTCAATTGATAAGAATGCTCTTATGTAGGTTTGGGATTATCAATATTTGGAAGTGTGGGAGTATATGCATGATGATGTGTACACTAATCGATATGAAAACTCTTAATTAGTTCATCTTTTAAGTTGTAATATGGAAATATTAATTGAGTATTTAGAAAAGAAGAGATTACAACATGTATGATAGCATAAATGTAATTGGGGGTTACGACTACACAATAAATATGTACGTTGTGAACAAATAAAAAAGAGTGATAATTGAGCAGTCTGAGGCTGCATTTTATTACAAGTTACAAATAATTACAAGTGAGGTAGATTGTAATGTAGAGTAAATTACAAGTCCTGTGATGTTACAATCAGATGAATATGACAAGTGATGGGGGACTCCTTTATTTATACTTAACATGCCGGTCTAAGCATTTAATGCTCCACCGCAAGTGGCTTGATGAGGCTCGTTCTTGTTGGCTTGGTCAAACGGTCACCCCGCAACTACGTGTAGGTTGACTATCCTATGTGACAGAGCCATTATTCTTGCAAGATGTCAGTCGCTGCTCTGCAAGTGTTAGTGAGCTTCCTTTACTTGTAGTGTAAGCTAAAATTTCCAGCTCACGGAGTCGCACTGTAGACCGACCAAGTGACCTACGACGGACTGGCCAAGTGGTGCTCCGTTGGGGCAATTCCAAGGGTGACCCGAGAATATCTTCACGCCTATCATGAGGCATGTCAATACAAGCGGTACGATTGATCACAAGTGATTTAGTCCTGTCGGGCTAGTGGTTATAACGTACCGGTCGAGTGATCTCACGGAATAGTCCTTATGCGTAATTTTTCATCACTATAGGACTAGTTCGATTTAATCAATCACTTTAAAGTCTTATTCTTGCAATAATGTGAGTCTGAATCCTCATGAATAGGTAAGTGTGTACTTCATATCACAAAGTTAACACCTACTAATTGAATGGATGTACATGATGATCATTTTAACGGGACTTCATAGATTTGTTGTTAATTGATGTTATCATGTTGCTAGGCTCAAAATAATGTTCAATCTATGCAAAAATAAATAAATAATTGTATACTTACAACAATATATTCGTACTAAAAACAAACAAATAAACCAGCATTACATAGTACAAATCATCAGAGAAATTCAGTACACAGTGCATTATACCCAGGAGCTTCTTAACCAATTAAGCTCCTCTTATTAATTTATTTTAATGATTATTTTGGTGAATGTTGCAAAAATCCCGTCTAGCTAGGCACCGATTAATCAGCGCCTAAACGCTAGGCACTGATTGACCGTCTAGTGTATCACCATAATCGGTGGTCTAGGCCGCTGACTGACTAGGTGCGGCCGACTAAGCCGCCTAGACTTCCTAGACTGTCTCAGCACTGACTAGTCGCCTAGTCGGCCAATTAACTATTTTTCCTTCTTTTTTAAATGGACTATTATTACACTTAAAATGACATCGTTTTGAGTCAAATTATCCTAAATGGTTCAAACTCTAAATGTTTTTTAGATTAATATTTAATATTTTTGTATTAACTATTAAAGTATTAAATAATTTATAATTATCAATATTATAAAATTAAAAAAAATTAAACAAATTTTTTAAAAAATAAAAAATACACGGGCGCCTAGGCGCCGATTAATCGCCGACTAGGCGCCCCCGAGCGTCCGAGGAACGCCTAGCGATTTTGAACCATGATTTTGGTACACTACACACGTTCAAGATAAGTTATGACCAACCTAGCTTGTTTGACATCCTTGTGGTACTTTACCATCTAAAATTACAAGACGAGCTTCATTTAAAGTGTACATTCAAGTTATGACTACAAACTTTTTCGTAAGTCAAAGCAATAGAACATCAGAAAGAGTAAGAGAATAAAAGAAGAGAAGAAAGATTCTCCGGCGGAAGGACACCATCATCGACGACTAATTTTTCCTTTGTGGTTCATTGGAAATTTGGGATGTTAGGTTTTGGTATTTAGAGCATCTACATCAGTGGATATTATGGAGATAATGTCAGATGAATTATCTCGGGTGGGGATAATAACAAGTGTGGGGTGGGGTTATTGGTGGAGATATTCCTCCTGCAAATTCAAGGAGAATGCAGAAAAAGAAGAAAAAGAAAGAGAAGAAAAAGGAAGCTGCTGTGCGCGAAACGCGCACAGCAGCTCGCCCACACGGGCGCGTCAGGCGCGCCTGACTCTTTTTTTTTTTTAATTTTTTTTTTGTTTTTTAATTTTTGATTTTGATTTTTTTGTTTTTTTTTTCCTCCCCTTCCCACATTCTCTCTCCTAATCACTCTTACATTATCTCACAATTCTCCCCAACCATTATGGATGCTCTTATAATTGGTGATATTATCTTTTGATTCCATGTTAATATTAGAAAGTAATTCGTGACAAATTTAAGTGATTTTTATGAAAAAAAAAATAAAAAATACATAATTTAAAAAAACAAAAAAATATACACACTAAGAACAAACCAGCATATATACCATAATACACGTACAATAATCGACCAATCTCAATCAAGTTGGTTGGATAGTTCTCTTCTAACAATTGTCTTAGTTTGAGACAACTATGAACTAACAACAAGGCTGAGTGCTCATCTTTATTCGTGGGTACATAACAATGGCGGGAAAGAGATACAAACCCACCGGAAAAAAGCACACCTTAAAGATTGCTAAGCAATAATACACCTCGTCAGACAGAAGCAATCTTGAAAGCGTCGTTTTCTCCGACCACACAGGCACAACCTTCGCCGCACTGGAACTGAACCTTGCCGGCGTCCGGGCCTGCAGTCTTGGAAACCTCACACGACCACCCTTCCGGGCACACGCAGAAGACCTTGGAGTTCGCCGGCGGCGACCCCTCCCGCGCCTGCTTTAACTCTTCCTCGCTCAGCGACTCAGTCGCCCTGCAAATATAATATTATCATCGGCCGTCAAGCCAAACAAATTAAAGGGGAATTGAATTGAAGTGAAAGCGGGAGGGAGAAGCTAATTAAGGAACTTAATTGATGGAGCAGCAGCAAGGGCCGCCGGAGCAGTTGGAGAAAGCCTTGCCGGATTTGGATGGATCGGTGGTCTTAGTTATGGTGCAAGTCCAGTCATCGTCGCACTTGCAAAACGCCGCCTTGTCACCGCCGTCCATTCTCACTGCCTTACTGTACCGGAGAATTGTATTGAAGAAAGAAGAAATTAGGGAAGCAAATAAATAAGTGGGAGATCCCGCATAAAAAAATGTTATTAATCTTCCAAAATGCTGAACCTCGATCCTAAGGGCCCCCACACCCTGACCTGACAGAGCACTTGGGAGGATGTAAATCATGGTAACTTAACTGAACATAGACTACAGAGGCTAGACCTGTACTCGTACAAAGAACCCTCCTCACTTTGAGAGGTTGTTCCCACACTGTCACTGATGAGACTCGATCCCTGATCATTCTTCTAAAGTTTCACCTATGTGACAAAAAAATGTTGTTATTATTATTATATTTGGTAGTGGGGACAATGTCTCCCAACACCACAATACTATTTTTGGTGGACCGTTTGTCATTTTCCTTCTTTTTTTCTCTCTCTCTCTATTAATAATAATAATAATAATAATAATAATAATAATAATATTATTATTATTATTATTATTATTATTATTATTATTATTATTATTATTATTATGGTGGTGGTGGGTGACATTGTCTGCCGTGCCAAATATAATAATAACAATATTATTTATTTTATGTCCCAATAATTATATATTTGGTCATGAATTGGACTGTTTTGTCATTTTCCTTTTCTTTTTGTTCTCTTTTTTAATATATATATATATATATATATATATATATATATATAATAAATATTAGAGATCATATGAGAATCAATTTCTCCATGAATTCATAAGAACCAATTCAATCTCATTTATTAAAAAAAAATAGATTATGAATGAGATTAATTGGATGATTAAAAATGCATGTGTGCATATAAGTATTATGTTGCATGCATATTAAGCCTATGCATACATCATAATGCCTAATATGCACACCTGAGTTTTTTTTTTTTTTTTTGAAAGGAGCTCATGCGGCATTTATTCAAATTACTCTGCGATAGAGTCTGAGGGACAGAGTCCCAGTACATAGCAATAGAGTGTGTAAAAGCAGACGAAGTTATAGTATGAGCTAAATAATTATTCAATCTAGGAATATAATCAACTGAGCAAAAATTAAATGAGTCAATACTAGCTCTTGAGGCATCAATAGCATAACCAAGATATGACCGGATAGGAGTAATTGCAGACGTCAGATATTGCTGTAGTGTTAAGCAATCCGTGAATAGTTGTATCGATCGTTCCCCACGATCCCATAGCTATGACAAGACTTCCTTGCATGCAAGTGCCTCGGCCATAAGCGGGGTGGTGCAGTTTGACAATGGGGCACTGAACGCCGAGATATACCCTCCATCGTTGGTGAGGATTATCGCCCCAACGACACCTTTGTTTACATCGTGCCAAAATCCAACATCGAAGTAACACTTGTTCGGCCCTGTAGATGTCGCCGCATCGGAGTTCGGCAATGGTGGGGTGCGTCGAGCAGTAGAGGCCTGGTGCTGGCGGGTGAGCTGTCGATTGTGCGTCGGCGTGGGTGTAGCGGAGTTCAGGGTAGCAGGCGGGGCAACTACGGCAGGCCTGCTCCGTTCGGGGTGAACCTGTTCCCTTGCTCTTACTGCCGCTATGGCCATAGCTAACACTCTCTGTGGTCATTGTAGGCATGCATCCCATATGGCACTGTTCCTGGCCTTCCAAATATTATATAGAATTGCCACTGCATAGATCACCTTATCAGTGTCTAAAACACTCAACAATTCATTAAACTAAGTGTAAAAAATATTTGTGATATTCATGGGGATTGGAATGTGGGATTGGGTCCAAATGGAACTTGCATAGTCACACAACACAAGGGCATGCATAGTGTCTTCATCCATGATCCCACACATGGCACAAGTGGGACTAACTTCTACTCTCTTTATAATCAAATTTCTTGTGGTGGGAGTATATTGCTCAGTGCTTTTCACATAAAAATTTTCCATTTGGGTGGGATTTTAAGTTTCCATAGGTCAAGCCATTTGTCAAAGTTGCCCTGACACATCGGAGTTTTAATCTCTTGATCTATAGATATTTTTTTTAATGGATGAGATTCGTTATCATTAAGAACCTCACCATATATATATATATATATATATATATATATATATATATATATATATATATAGGGACACGCTCTAATGCGAATGGCCGCCTAAGAGAGTAATAATAACTATTTACAGATATTCACGTGTCCAAATCAACGAATCAAATATAATTTTAATATGACCCTATCCCGTCTCACGCGGGTTGGCGGACCGGCATGAGAATTTTTTTTTTTTTTTTTTTTTTTTTAAAGCTAGACAAACTTTAGTTGTTTACACTATATTATAATAATAATAATAATAATAATAATAATAATAATAATAATAATAATAATAATAATAATAATAATAATAATAATATTATTATTATTATTATTATTATTATTATTATTATTATTATTATTATTATTATTATGGTGGTGGTGGGTGACATTGTTCCAGTGCCAAATATAATAATAACAATAATATTTTTTGTCACAATAGTAATATTTTTTTTAATGCTGCCAACAGCTTTTCTCCCCCCTTTCTTTTTCCTTCCTCTTTTGTTTTCTCTTCTTTATTTCTATATTTCTTGTCTTCATTTCTTTACTGAACTCTTGCATTATTGTTCTAGCCGCTTGGGGGCTTCATAACATTATTGACAAGCTTTATGACTTCATAGCCGCTTGGTAATTTTTACATCTAGGTCATATTTAAGTGTTGCAAAAATCTTGTCTAGCTAGGCACCGATTAATCGGCGTCTAAGCGCTAGGCGCTGGCCGGCCGCCTAACATATCACCATAATCAGTGATCTAGACGGCTGGCCAGCTAGACGGTTTAGGCGCTAACCGCCTAGACAGCGACTAGGTCGCCTAGTTGGTCGATTAGCTATTATTCTTTTATTTTTGGGTTGGGCTCATTCTTGTGTACTTGTTTTGGACAAAGCCCAAACAGAAGTCAATAGTATATGGCCCGAAATCTTTTTGGGCTGCCTTATATAGGATTAGGATTATCAATATTTGGAAGTGTGGACTATATGCATCCGCAAATCATTCTGTTGACCCGAGTCTAAATGTTCATAATTTATATATTAAATGTTTACAATTTATCCTTTAAAAATTTACATTTTGAATATTAGGAACACACAATGTTAACATATATGTAATTGATTATCTTGTTTTGCATCTACTAGTTCTTTTCAAATACTGCAGTCACACAATATTAAGGGATTAGGATTTGATGACCCTATATTATATTTACAAATCCCATTCTAAAGCTGTTATGTGTTTTGATTCCTGTTTAATATTCGAAAGTAATTCGTGACAAATTTAACTAATTTCTATGAGAAAAAAGAAAATTATACACATATACACTTTAATGGCGGAGGCTCTAGCGTGCAAAGAAGTTTTGTCATGGTTGAGAAACCGCGGTATAGACTCTATCCAGCTCTTCACAGATTGTTTAGTGCTACAACAATATCTATCATCTACGACTCGATCACCACGGTCTTATCTGGGCTATGCTATTATAGCTGCAGGACTAGTATATTGGCTTTTGAGAACTGTTTAATTCGATACGTTCCTAGATTATATAATTATTTAGCTCATACTCTAGCATCTATTGCCTCTACTCAGACGACAATTATGTATGCGGACTCAAGTCCACCAGCTGCTATTTCAGCATATTTTGAATAAATGCCGCACAGGCTCCTTTCAAAAAAAAATACACATATACACTTAGAACAAACCAGCATATATAACATAATACACTCACATACAGATAATGGAACAATGTTAGATAGTTGTAACTAGATTTCAAATTCGTCTCCCTGAAATAATTGTCTTAGTTTGAGACAACTATGAACTAACAACTAGGGTGAGTGATCATCTTATTATTCGTAGGTACATAACAATGGCAGGAAAGAGATACAAACCCACCGGAAAAAGCAAACACACCTTAAAGATTGCTAAGCAATAATAATAATATAATATTAGACAGAAGCAATTTTGACAGCGTCGTTTTCTCCGACGACACAGGCACAACCTTCGCCGCACTCGAACTGAACCTTGCCGGCGTCGGGGCCGGCAGTCTTGGAAACCACACATGACCACCCTTCCGGGCACACTCAGAAGACCTTGGAGTTCGACGGCGGCGACCCCTCCCGCGCCTGCTTTAACTCTTCCTCGCTCAGCGGCTCAGTCGCCCTGCAAGTATAATTAAACTTTTATCATCGGCCATAATTATTTGGAACCAATTACTAAGTCAATGTCCTATCATATTAGATGGAAAAAATTATTATAATGAATAATATGATATGATAATATTACGAAGAGAGTATACATATTTGGTTGGATGTGAGAGAGAGTAGAAAGTGCAGTAATTAAAGGAACCAGAAGCATTCCTAATTGTGCTCTCTACCTCCATTAATAAGCCTTTCTATCATTTGAAGCTCATATAAATACTTACCGATTCCATGCATTCTATCATTATCAATAAATTTGTATTGTAATATATAATATATAATTATATAATATATAATAATGGCGAAGCATACAACGCTGTGTATATTCTTCTTTTTGGCGTTGAGCTTCAGAATAAGCTTGGCATCCCGGAACATTTTATGTTTAGGGTTATTACATGGCCTTGCTAGAAGCAGAGGCGGAGGTGGAGGTGGAGGTGGAGCAGGAGCGGGAGGCTCAGCTGGAGCCGATGTCGGTGCGGGTGTTGGAGTTGGAGCCGGAGCTGGAGCCGGAGCCGGAGCTGGAGGAGGAGGCGGTGCAGGAGGAGGAGGCGGCGCAGGTGCAGGTGCTGATGGTGGAGCTTATGGTGCCGGCACAGGTCATGCGCATTTAGGAATTAGTGGGAATGCACATGCAGGATTACATGGTGCTGCCGGCGCTCATGGATATGGAGGAGCACACGGTGGGGGAGCAGGTCATGAAGGAGCATACGGCGGTCTAGGAGGAAGCGAAGGAGCATACGGCGGTCCAGGAGGAAGCGGAGGAGCATACGGCGGTCCAGGAGGAAGCGGAGGAGCATACGGCGGTCCAGGAGGAAGCGGAGGAGCATACGGCGGTCCAGGAGGAAGC